CTAATTTAAATATCTAAATAGAATAATCTGACTTGGTTATAAAGTTGGTATTAAGCCTATTTTTTTATGACACAATATTTATGGGATAGCAACTAAGAAAACTAAAAAAAATTGTCTAATTTCTGTAAATTTGCCACAAAATGGACTCTAAAAATTGCGACACTATGTGTATTGCTCCCACAACTTCCTACGGAGGATTTCGTAAAGGTTTCACAAAGAAATAGTTTGAAAGTCATATCACTAAAATATTCATGGATATTACACAGGAAAAACTGAAAAATCACCTAATTTCTATAAATTGACCCCTAATTTTCAAAAATGGATTCTAAGAAAACTGTGAGATTTTACCTATTATTCCCCAATTCGTTGCTGAGTGTTAAGTAAAGATTCCACAAAGAAATTTAGTGGAAGACATATCTCCAAAAAATTCTTTGGCATACACAAAAAATTAAGAAAATCGCTTAATTCTTGTAAATTGGTCCCTATATGAGTAAAATAGACTCTAAAAATTGTGCGTACTGATCCCCCAACTCCCTATGAAGGGTTTCATAAGGATTTCACAAAGAAATCGTCTGTAAGTCATATCGCAAAAATATTTATGGACTAATTGAGAGAATCGCCTAATTCTTGTAAATTTGCCCCTTAATGTCCAAAATGGACTCGGATGATTGTAATATTGTGCATATTGTTCCCTTGACTCCCAATGAAGGGTTCTGTAAATATTTCTTAAAGAAATCATCCTGAAGACATATCACCAAATATTAATGAGCTAATACACAAAAACTATGGAAATCGCTTTATTCCTGCAAATTACCCCTCTAAATGCGCAAAATGGACTCTAAAAATTATGAGATTGTACGTACTTCTCCCTAAATCTCTAATGAGGGTTCTATAAAGATTTCACAAAGAAGTCATCTGGAAGACATATCACCAAAATATTTATGGGCTAATACACATGAAAAGTTGAGATAATCACCCAATTCTTGTAAATTGACCCCCGAAAAGCCCAAAATAAACTCTAAAAATTGTGAGATTGTATGTTGTCCTCCCCTAACATCTTACGAAGGATTCTATAAAGGTTTCACAAAAAAATCATTTGAAAGTCATATCACCCGAATATTCTTGGCCTAACACACACGAAAAAGTAAAAAAAATCTTTGAATTCCTACAAGTTAGCGCCTGGATGCCCAAAATGGACTCTAAAAATTGTGAGAATGTAGGTATTTCTCCCCAACTCCATACGGAGGGTTTCGTAATTCTTTGCAAAGAAATCGCCCAGAAGTTATATCACTAAAATATTCATGGGCTTATACACACTAAAAATTGAGAAAATCGCCTAAATCCTATTAATTGGTCCCTAAAATCTAAAATGGATTCTAATAATTCCCATGAATCCGAGTTTGAAAATTGGATCCTCTATCTGCACAAGGTAGGGATTTAGGTTTGCGTACGCACCAACCTCTGGATATGTTGTTGTTGTTGTTAGATGATGTTAAATTCTGCAAAGTAAATATTTTTTCTCTATCTAAACATGTTGTTGCTGTTAGATGATGTTATATTCTGCAAAGTAAACATCTAGTTCCTTTTGATGCTCTTATTCAATTTGTGCGGAAGTTTAACAAAAGCATCCAAAGGTACTAGATCTCCATCCACTATACTCTTATTGATCCTAGCCTCGTGTCCAAACGTAAATTCTGAATGTGTGAATCCTGAAAAAATATATCAGCAAACCAGTAGACTCATTAGAGGCCAAGATTGTAAAAACTTATAACGGTGATTTGGAACAACGAGGGCTGGAAGGTGAAAGCTTGTTTCGTAAACAAGAACGTTTGTGTGTTTGATATGTGATTGTAGACGTTGAGGAGTACTTCAAAAGAACTTGAGAACTGAAAATTTTTCATTTTAGTTAAATTATACGCTTATTTGGACATAAGGTGTAAGACGTTGTATGGGATCTTGCTTTCTTTGATTGTTTTATCAATCATATAGAGGTACTTTTTGGCTTAATACATAATTATCTTGTCAAAATATTCCATTTAGACCTTCGATATAAGTCATGCTTCAATTGAACATGCCTAATTTAAATATCTAAATAGAATATTCTGACTTGTTTATAAAGTTGGTATCAAGCCTTTTTTTTATGACAGAATATTTATGGGCTAGCAACTAAGAAAAACTAAAAAAATTGTCTAATTTCTATAAATTTGCCACAAAATGGACTCTAAAAATTGTGACAGTATATGTATTGCTCCGACAACTTCCTACAGAGGATTTCTTAAAGGTTTCACAAAGAAATAGTTCAAAAGTCATATCACTAAAATGTTCATGGTTAACACACACTAAAAGCTGAAAAAATCACCTAATTTATATAAATTGACCCCTAAATTTCAAAAATGGATTATAAGAAAATTGTGAGATTGTACCTATTATTCCCCCAACTCCTTGCGGAGAGTACTGCAAAGATTCGACAAACAAATTTTATGGAAGACATATCACCAAAAAATTCTTGGGCATACACGAAAAAATTAAGAAAATCCCTTAATTCTTGTAAATTGGCCCCTATATGAGTAAAATATACTCTAAAAATTGTGAGATTGTACGTACTGATCACCCTTCTCCCTATGAAGTGTTCCATAAGGATTTCGCAAAGAAATCGTCTCTAAGCCATATCACCAAAATATTTATGGATTAACACATACAAAAAACTGAGAGAATCGCCTAATTCCTATAAATTTGCCCCTTAATGTCCAAAATGGGCTCTAATAATTGTGATATTGTACATATTTTTCCCTTAACTCCCTATGAAGGGTTCTGTAAATATTTCGTAAAGTAATCATCCGGAAGACAAATCACAAAATATGCATGAGGTAATACACACAAAAAAAACTATGGAAACTGCTTATTTCCTGTAAATTGCCCCTCTAAATTAGCAAAATGGACTCTAAAAATTATGAGATTGTACGTGATGCTCCCTAAATCTCTACGGGGGGTTCTACAAAAATTTCACAAAGAAGTCATCTGGAAGCCATATCACCAAAATATTTTTGGGCTAATACACATGAAAAATTGATATAATTGTCAAATTCTTGTAAATGCCCCCCTAAATGCCCAAAATAAACTCCAAATATTGTGAGACTGTATGTTGTCCTCCCTGAACTCCCTATGACGGGTTCAATAAAGGTTTCACAAAAAAATCATTCGGAAGTCATATCAGCCAAATATTCTTGGCCTAACACATACAAAAAAAATTTTAAAAAAATCACTTAGTCCCTAAAATGGACACTAAAAATTGTGAGAATGAAGGTATTGCTCCCCAACTCCCTACGGAGGGTTTCATAATGCTTTCCAAAGAAATCGCCCAGAAGCTACTTCACTAAAATATTCATGGGTTTATACACACTAAAACTGAGAAAATTGCCTAAATCCTATTAATTGGCCCCTAAATGTCTAAAATGTATTCTAATAATTGTGAGACTGTATAGACTACTCCTCCAACTCCCAATAGATGGCTCATTAAAGGTTTTCATATATGTATCATATTTCTTGATAAACTTTAAATGTGAATAGAACCGACCGATACAAAACCCTAGGCGAATCTAGCATATAGTTTAGGTAAAAATGCATCGCATTTGATTTTTACACTGATAGGTTTTAATAAGTTCTATCTTAGCTCGAAGGAAAAAACAATCCAAATCAAACTCTCCCAAAGAATATGATCAAATAAATTTAACAATTCAAGTCTTGGCAACATAATTTTTATTTAAACCAGGGTGTTATTGTTTAAAAAAAATATATTTATTGGAGCCTGAAGGGTAGCTTAGTCATTCAACAATTCATTCAAAATGCCTTTTTTGGAACCAACATAACTTTCATACATCCCAAAATTACCACTCACCATATTTTTTGCCTCTATATATATGAGAGGATGTGATAGTAATTCATTTGTCTGTTTAAGTTTAAGCCGCCAACAATTCACAACCATGGCCTCTTTAACCTCTGAGTTCCTCAATTTCATTGTTTTCCGCTATCTCTTTGAATCAGGCAATTTAATTCTCATCTTCAGAATTTGTTATATCTATCCAATTTTAATTGATCTTGTGTTTCTATTCTGAAATTCCTATGAATCCGAGTTTGAAAACTTGATCCTCTATCTGCACAAGGTAGGGATTTAGGTTTGCGTACACACCAACCCCTGGATATGTTGTTGTTGTTAAATGATGTTAAATTCTGCAAAGTAAACATTTTTTCTTTATCTAAACATGTTGTTTTTGTTAGATGATGTTAAATTCTGCAAAGTAAACATTTTTCTGTATCGAAAAACATGTTCGTGTTAGATGATGTTAAATTTTGCAAAGTAGACATTTTTTTAGTATCGAAACATGTAGTTGTCGTTAGACATGTTAAAATTCTGCAAAGTAAACATTTTTTCTGTATCAAAAACATGTTGTTGTTGTTAGAAATGTTAAAATTCTGCAAAGTAAAACATTTTTTCTACATCGAAAAACATGTTGTTATTGTTTGCTTGGTTTGATCCACTAGAATAATAAATTTTGACTTCAGTAAATTGAATGTTGTTTTTATTACCAAATTTAAACATCTCATTTAAATTTTGTATTTGTCTCTCCATTTTTAGATAGGAGTAAATAAACTTAACAACTCTTGCCCATGAGGAAGTAAATTTGATCGTGATGGACTATACCGATTCAGCATTTGCTTTTGGGTAGTATATATCTAATCCATCTACTGATTTTGCTGATATATTTTTTCAGGATTCACACATGCAGCATTTACTTTTGGATACGAGGCAGGGCTCAATACGAGCACGATCGATGGACATCTAGTTCCTCCTGGTGGTCTTGTTCAATAAGTACAAAAGGGGATTCAGTATCTTGAACTGGAAACCAATTTCAGCAATGTAAGGCAAATATTTATATGAAGTTTAGTTCTTTTTACTACTCTGTACTAACCAATATAACTACGGAATGTAGGATAATACCGATATGAATGAAGACTTCAAGCCTTTAGAGCCTATGGATCTCATTACAAAGAGTGTAGATGAGCTGCGGAAAATAATAAAAGATAAAAACGAGAAGGCTCAGAAAAGAAACTTAGGGGGAAAGGTAAGGCGAATGCTGACCACAAACGAGAACCCACAAGAAGAACAGAGATGGACAAATAGCACAAGGAAAAAGAGCGTGAACATGGAAGGACACACATCTGAGGTTCGCTATGATTTCTCAATAGGTGTGATCTTCTGTTATCTGTCTGATGTATTAACGTTACAATTCTCTTTTGTTTCAATACTCTTACTAGGTTTTTGCTTGTGCTTGGAGTCCAGAAAGGTCACTACTTGCATCTGGGTAAGTATTAGTAGCATTTCTTTCTTTTTTGCTCTCGTATATGGATCAACTAATGTTCATATTCATGTCGATTATAGCTAACCATGTGTAATAACACGTTAGGTCTGGATACGCGACTGCTAGAATATGGTATATCGGAGATGGTCCATTTAATTCTACTATCCCAAATGTTTTGGTTTTGAACCATTTGGACAGTCAAGCAACTGAGGAAAACAAGGATGTTACATCACTTGACTGGAATGTGAGTTTTTTATACTGCTTGTTTTGGGGTGACTTTCGTTGATCTATACTTTTCTGGTGGACTTTCTAAAATTAGACTGCATTGCTTGTAGTTACATCTTTAATTTTCTTGTTATTATTTGATCTTGTTTATATGACTTTTTCTTATACAGAGAGAGGGTACTCTGCTTGCGATAGGTTTTTACGATGGCCAAGCAAGAATCTGGAAACGATCTGGTAAGGGGCATGGAGGAAAAACTTGTTTTGAAGATTGAATGTATAAATTATCAGTGTTTTTCGTGTCTTGTTTTCTCTTACTGACTTTTCATACAGGGGAATTGGTTAGTACTCTTAACAAACATAAAGGGACAATCATGTCTTTGAAGTGGAACGAGAAAGGTAATTATCTCCTTAGCGGTAGTATTGATACAACTGCCGTTATTTGGAATGTGAAGTCTGGAGAATCAAAGCAACAATTTGGATTTCATTCAGGTGTTCTGTTGCCTCAATGATTCTTTATAATTTACCTCATATCTGAGCAAGGATAGATTTTTTTTTTTGTTTTGATTATGTTCATACGACCCCATGTAGGTCAATTGCTTGATGTTGCTTGGCGAAACAATGATTCTTTCGCGACCAGCTGTGCTGACAGCGTGATATATGTTTGTAAAGTTGGAGACAACAAACCAGTCAAAAAGTTCTCAGGACATCAGGTGACGACTGAATCTTAGCATGTTATGCTTGATTCGAACATTGATGTATCCATTGGGAATAGTCTTAAAGGGTTGTTTACTTTAACATTGCAAAATGAAATCAATGCTATCGATAAGGACCCCTCAGGTTCTTTGCTGGCTTCTTGCTCTGATGATACCACAGTTAAGGTATTTCCTGTCTTGTCCTTCTAAAGGTTAGGCGCATGTCACATTTCGAACCGTGCAGCAGACATAAGCTTAGTATTTTTAAATGGGATAAGGTAGAGAGGCGGTGCGGTGTGCCACTGGCCCTCAAGGATTTTGTCAATAATTTATTGTTTTTGTGCAGATATGGAGCATGAAACAGGATGTCTGCTTGCATGATTTCCGAGAACATAGCAAAGTATCTATTTTTTGTTCTTTATTTTTCTTTGTTGATTCATTTAATCAAGTCAGACATTAATTCCTGACTATTATGGTTTTGTTAGGAGATATATACCATCAAATGGAGTCCAACTGGCGCTGGTACAAGCAATCCGAATCAACAGTTGTTGCTGGCAAGGTATGCTATCTATTGCTACGGTCATATTTACAGTATTATTTCACATGTGGTGGTAGCACAAGGTTCTTGATTGAGATTATTGGTTTTGTTTTATTGTGTGTCTATGTAGTGCTTCATTTGACTCTACCGTGAAGCTATGGGATGTTCACCAAGGGCGTCTTCTTCACAGCTTCAACAGTCACAGCGGATGTTAACTAATTATGTCTACTTGGAACGGACACAGGAGATAGTGAGGCACTCTTAATAAATTTACACTTATTTAACTGTCAAATGTTAGGCTCAAGTATTATGGAATTTGTTTACTAGTACTCAGTTGAACTATCAATACGTGTGTATCTTTCTTTTAGTTCATCAAATCTTTGTATCTTTCTTGTTTAATGTTTTTGGTTTTTACTAAGTCGGTTTTGTTCCATTTTGAATCCAGGGAACCTGTTTACTCTATTGCATTTAGTCCAAACAGTGAGTACTTGGCAAGTGGATCAGTGGACAAATGCATGAATATATGGTCGGTGAAGGAGGCCAAGCTTGTAAGAACTTACAATGGCGATGGCGGCATTTTTGAAGTGTGTTGGAACAAGAAAGGCAACAAGGTTGCAGCTTGTTTCGCAAACAAGAAGGTCTGTGTCTTTGATCTGCGCTTGTAGATCATGTTGAGGAAGCGATGTGAAACTCTACCTTTTAGATAACCTTTTTGTTGGTTTCACAAAAAAAATTATTATGATTTCATGATTAGAAGTGAGATAAACAAACAGACAAAAAATATAGAGAGATTTTTTTATAAATGTTCCTACATTGATAAAATATTTATTGTACAAATAAAGCAATATATTTTTACAATACAATAATTAATTTAAATTAAAAAAGTCAAAAATAAATAAATTATGTTTCTCCTTTTATTATAAGTGAGAAAAAAAATATGAAGAGTTTTTGCTATAAATGATCCTCCATTAATAAAAGGGATAATGCCCAAGTACCCCCTCAACCTATGTCCGAAATCTCAGAGACACACTTATACTATACTAAGGTCCTATTACCCCCCTGAACTTATTTTATTAATAACTTTTTACTCCTTTTTAGCCTACGTGGCACTATCTTGTGGGCCCAACGATGGTTGACTTTTTTTTTCAAACTAGTGCAACGTAAGCTAAAAAGGGGTAGAAAATTACTAATAAAATAAGTTCAGGTGGGTAATAGGACCTTAGTATAGTATAAGTGTGTCTCTGGGATTTCGGGCATAGGTTGAGGGGGTACATGTGCATTTTCCCTTAATAAAATATTTATTTGTAATAATTTAAGTAATTTTTTAGTGATATAATATTTAATTTATATATTAAAAAAACAAAAAGCTAAATGCAAATGAAGTCATAGAGAGGTGCCACATCACCTCCTCTATGATCCTCATTTATATGTTGAAGTGGATACGGCTCCTCTCCATTTCTCTTCTCTCCATTTTTCCCAAGTTTTTGTTTGGATTAATGACACATGTCATAGGTTAAAATAAATGGTTAAGATTTTTTCAAAGTAAACCTCTAACCATGATTTAGTTAATAAATATATTATATATCAAGTATCAAAATTATTATCATCTCACAATCTAAGCAACATATTATTTTGTTTATATTATTTATATAAAATAGTTTTCTTCCTATAATTTTTTTTACGTAGGATCTTTCTTTTATTTTTCTTTTATATAATATTTTTATTGTAATCTTTTGTTAAAGGTATATTGGTTCGTGATTAATAAATTACCTAGAGATAATCAAACCATTTTGACAAACTAATTTTAATTTCATAATAAAATTAAGAATACAGTAATACCAGTACATACAGTATGTTAATTATAGTTTCCATACTTCTATTCAGTTAATTATTCATCTAATTAGATAAAAAAAATATTATATAAAAGAAAAAAATCCTACGTAAAAAGAAATAATAGGAAGAGAACTTTTTTTCCCAATATTTATGGACAAAATAATATGTTGCTTAGATTGTGATATTATAATAATTTTGATACTTGATATATAATATGTTTATTAATTAAATCATGGTCAGAGGTTTACTTTAAAAATTAAATCTTAATCATTTATTCTAACCTATGACATGTGTCACAATAGGAAGGTGTTCCTTTTGTGGAGTTTTGGACTCTTCAACTAATTCGGAGTTATTTGAGTTGTACATGTTGTTAGACTATTGTATCCTGAAGGAGACAAGTCAAGAGTATTACTGCTGGATCGGTGTAGATTATGCCGCAGTTGACTTAAATCTTCTTAATTAAGAGCGAGATATTCGTGGCTTGACCTACAGATTTGTTTATACATTTTTGTTCATTTTATTTCAACTGCAATTTATTGTACTTATGGTATATTATACCAACACTTGTAAACGACACAAAATTTCAATCACATATATATAATAATAATAATAATAAAGAATAATAAAATAAATAATAAAAAAATATATTAATAATAAAGAGTAATAATAATAAAATAATAAAATAATAATAGTAGAACTAATAATTATAATAATAATAATAACAACAACAACAATAATAAAAATAAAAATAAAAGAAATAAGAGCAAAAAGGCAAAATATTTGGTCAACTCAAAAGAGTTTTTAAGCTAAAAGATAAAAAAATACTCATTTCCCATCTTTTAATTTTTGACTTAAAATAAGTTTTTTTTTTAAACTTAAAATAAGTTTATTCTTTGAGAATTGTCAAACACTTAAATAAGTAAAAAAAAAACAACGTTTAAGTCAGTTTGATGAGCTTTTAAGCTAATCCAAACAAGCTTTAAAATGTAGTGACGTATTTTATCTAATTCTCATCACAATTCAAACGCGACTCAAAACTAGTGCGACATTGCGATGCCGTTTTGCTTCACGAATTTTATTTTTATTGGTATTTTCATGTGCTATAAATATTCATTTTTAAATTTATTTTAGCAGTTTAGTTTTATTTGTTTTTTTGAATTTCTAAGCATACGTTAACGAATAAGAACAATTTTCTTGTGATCTAACTTGTGAATGATCTTGATTATTGATTACAATCTTTTCGTTCTTGAGTCTCATTATAAAACTTGTTAAGTATTGTATATATTAAATTTGAAAAATATTTATAAATAAGTTGGAGCTTATATTTTTTTAAAAAAAATAATTCACGTAACATGTTTATTATACTTATTAGCATTTTTCATTGTTTTAAATTTATAAATAAAAATTATGTTATTTTTAAAGAATTAATATATTTCTCAAAAAACTATATCAGATATTTAATGTTAATAATTTCTATTGACTTTTACAACTCAACCCCCAACAAATGAAAAAGTATTCGAATATTATAGTTGAATTATTGCCAATATTAGTCAACGCAACAAGTAGCATACTCAATGACGTCTAAAGTCATGCCACAGACCATGAAAAAGAAAAAAAATAAATTAATGGTTCTCTTGATGTCATGTTAATATTTTACTGCTAAATAATAGCTTGATATAATTTTATTGGTATGTCTAGATTTTATTTCTTATGAGAAATAAAAAGGTTTTTTTCTTAGTTTTTATTCGATATTAAATTTCAGTATGAAAGATAATCAATTTGGATATGTATCACGTAAATAGGGGAGAAGCTAGAGCTATCTCATAGTGTTTCACCTTTCATCGAAAAATTACGTCGTATATTACAAATTCTATATTTACAGGATATATATATTTTTAAAGTTGGACATCCTTTACAAAAGTCATACCTTTGGCGTAGTGATAATAGGTCTCCATTTTAGTGAAGGAGTTGAGTTCTTACGGTAAATAGCACACCGTTAATTAAACGTAGGACATCATCCGGGTTAGTGGCTCCTACTAATATTTTTTTATATTTATAATTCGAATTCAAGAACTCTACTCTCCACCACATTTTAAAACTTTTTTATTATGAAGTTAATCTCTAATGTCATTTTTCGATTGGATCTGGATCAGATCTAATCTTATCTCATTCTTAGATCTAGTTTCACTTTTTATTCTTCTTTGTGAATACGGTTTCACTGATAATTTTAAATTTTTAAACATGTTTTAAGTATGCAATATAGCAAACAATAGTTACAAAAAAAATAAATTGTTTCTTCTAAGTTGTAATCTCAGATCATGTTGATTTTTATAAGCCAAAATTGTCTCTTTTTTGTTGTGCTTTTCTCCAATCCTTACATTGGAGAAAACCTAATATAAATTAGCTGTTTTTTCTTGTTTTCTTGTTTTTTTTTCTTTTGTCAAATTCGATTTTTCTTATATTAAAAGAACAATGAATATTTCTAAGAGACATGAGTGCTTAGCATTGACAGATTAAAAAATAATTAATTAAAGTTTCCTACCAACTAACTTTTTAAAAAATGATTAAGGATTCACTTTACCTCAATATTTCATTAATTTAATTAGAAAGTGACTTCATTTCATTCAATGTATATAACTGAAAATGAGGCTATCTGATTATTTTG